TTTCTGGCTGCACTGTTTGAAGGGGGCGGGGCGGGGGGCATTCTAGGGCCCAGCGGCCCACCATGGTGGCCATTAGGCACTTTGAAATGCAGTCACTCCGAAACTGGTGTCCTGTAAGTGTAAAATGCACACCGCGTTTCAAAGACAGAAAGAATGTTACAACATCTCAATCGTTTTTATTTTGACATGATGAAATTATAATATTTGGGGTCTATGGAATTGAATAAAACACTACAAAAACTAAGTTCACCTGTTTCTGTTCGTTTTTTTAATTTGATTACTTGAAAACTTTTAAATTACATATGTGGCTCGCATTTTATTTCTATCAGACGGAGTTGGTGTGGGGAAGGAGGAAGGCAGGGGAAAAGACAAGAAAAGGGAGGAGGAGGGGCCCGCCTTGGGATACAGGAGGAAGGTCTTTTATTTTTTTTTTCTCTTAGCAGCGGGGGATCTTATTTTGTGACCTCTGTAAGAATCCTTGTCAACTTACCTTCTGCTCCTTGTGGCGTCCTATAAAACGAACTGCTTGCGCCGGGACGGAGAAAGTATTGTAAGACAAAGATAGTAGAAGGACTTATTATTTTTCCCCCTTGTGCCTCAAGAGCTTTGGAGAACAAGGAGTCATTTGTTTATCCTGAGACATGCGCCTTGCCAAGTGCTTTTCTGTCCCAATTCCCTCTCTCCAAGAGATCTGTCTGAGTCTTCTGGTGATTGGCAGGCAGCGATTCAAGACAGAACAAAGGCAGGGAGATGGCCTGTAGAAATTTAACCAGCCAACTCTTAGACATAGAAAAGTTATAGGAGAAAGGAAAGAAAATGCACGAATGCTCGAAAATAGGGGAGTTGCCAGAGGGAAAACACTGAACTTGACCAAGAGAATTGCTGAAGCCCATGTAAAGAGTAGAGGACCACTACTGTCGCAAAGAGGAATGGGAAAAGGGATGCTTGAGAGTGGTCATGGTTGTAAGTAACCAGAGCTTGAATTTGTTTCACCGCTGCATTACTACAGTTCTGTGGCCCGTGTTTGGATGAAAAAGTATATACATATAGAAATAAACATGCCTGCCTCCCAGGCTCAGTCTGGGGGCATGAACCCCAGCTAGGCTATGAGTTCCTGGTGCCAAAGGAACAGACTATGCCACCAGGGGTCCAGATATTCTTAAGAGAGGTGTGACCCCACATCCTTCCCTCACCCCTACTCCAGGACACCAGTGGAGAAAGACTCCAACAATGCCACTGAGGTTTTCCATTATGGCTCCTGTAGGGGTGCATACACTCAGCCTCAAGCGATGAAGCAGGGGCCAGCTGAGCATGGTAGTTCAGGCAGCTGGACCCCACGTGGTTGACTATGCTGTTACAGCAGCTTAAAAAACACCCCAAGTATGTGTGCATGCACGCCCAAAATCCCAAAAGTAGAATGGAGGAGAAGAGATTGCAGCATGTCTATCCCTCCAGGGGGTGATTTCTCACTTTCTTTCTCTCTCTCATCTTATACCAGATAACCGAAAATTTAAAATTAAAAAAAGAAGTGAAGCATCATCAGCTACTACAAGAGGCAGGCCTCCTGGTACCACCAGTATGTGATTGTCACCATCCCCAGCCACTTCTGCATACCAGAGTAGATGAGGAGACAGAGCTGTCTGTGTGCACCATCCACGTGAATGACCAAACCATGCACTCACCATGGGCTACTCCAGCTGATGGGGGCGACAAGACCACCTTCCTGAAGCCTAGTGGGCCATCGCAGCATATTCTGTGTGCTACAGAGTCTCTGGGAGTTCATCCATCAACCCATTCAAACTGTATTTATCTTCTGCCTTCTCCCCAGCAGGACACAGAGGCCTTGTGCAAATTATCCACTGGGCGGGTGTGGCTTTCTCCTATGCTGAGGCCTACACAGTCTCTTTCACCCTCATGCTCCAATTTGATGACCTCTTCCTGAGACCAGCAGTAGCAGGCACTAGCAGATACTGCCTACCCACCTCTCGCCAGCCCTGTATACTTTCTTATGTTATATGCAAAGAGAATCAGGGTTATTTCTTCCCGTCCAATCTATTAGGTCTTTGGAAAAGTCATGACATAGAAAAGCACGCCATGACTTTCCCAATACATGCCTTTTATTTTTTGACACCAACTAGGATTTCTAATATGATGTCAAGTGAAAGCGAACTTCCTTGCTTTCTTCCCCACAGTCTTTGGGGAATAATATTCAGTCAATCATCATTAATATCAGCTGTTGGCTTTTTGTATTACTAGCTGCCAATTATTTTAGTTTATTTTTTTTTATTACCAAAGAGTGTTTGTGCTCACCAGAGGAAGGCAGAAAAGCAGAGAGGGGGAGAAAGAAAGCACCCTCTGTTGGGGTGTGGTCACACTGCAATCATGTGTCCTCCATATTTCCATCCTGGTGAAATTTGGGGCACAGATATGTACACAGCTGGAGTGTATTTCAAGCCACTGGGGTCAAGATTCAAGCCAAGGTCAGCTATTTGGGATCGGCTCCCTTAACCACTAGGCTACAGGGCTGGCCCTAGAGCTGTCCTTTATGAGGTTCATGAAGTTTCCTTTTCCTCCTAGATGACTGAGAGTTTCTGCCATGACTGGATATTGAATTTCATCCATTTTTTTTGCATCAATTAATATGTCAGGTGTTTTTTCTTATGATGGATTACCTTGAGTTTCAAGTATCGAAGCAACCCTGTATTTCCAGAGTAATCCCCACTTGGTTGGTTGTTTTCTAGAAAAGCAACAACAAAAATAAATGGGGCTATATTGTGAAGTGTAGGGCAAATTTTGCAAGGCTTTAAAAAGGTACAATTCAGGGCTAACATGGTGATTAGGGCGCTGGACTCCCACATGGCCGACCATGGTTTGAGTCCAGGACCTGGCAGTTTACTTTCTCATTTTCCCTCTCTCACTTTCTCTGGTGAGTGCATGTGTCCTGTAACAATAAAAAATATTTTAAAAATTAAAAAAAAAAACCAACTAGGAACAATAATGATAAATAGAGTATTTAAAACTATATACAATTCGAAGAAATTAACTTGTTGATATAGGCTATGCTCCAAATTCCAGTAGGCATGGATTCTCCCTCCTATGACATTAGCGGCACTCTGGTGAAAAAATGGAGAGCACTTAATTCACTTCATTTGCTTACTTGTCTCTTTTGCTCCCCTGGAAGTAAGCTTCCTGAGCACATGGTCCATCTCTTCCTTGATTTCATATCACTAGTGCTCACCCAAGAATTTTGCAAAAGGACAAAGATTCAGAGCAAATGAAAAGATGAATGAATACCATGTAACCTGCACTGTCCTAGACATTTTCGTTTATGTTACCTCACTTAGAATTTGAAAGAGGACACAATCAAAAGAAAAAAGAGTAGGCCAGTCCCATAGTCCAGAGACTGGGGGGAGCTGGGTCCCACATGGCCAACCATGGTTCAAATCCTGATCCTGGAAACTTGAAAAAACACGCTGAATGTGTGTGTGTGTGTGTGTGTGTGTGTGTGTGTGCATACCCAAGGTACTCACAGGTGAGAGAATTGGGGAAAAAGGGATTGTGGCATGATCCTATCCCACTAGGGGTGCATTCTCCCCCCCCCCCCCCTTTTTCTTTGTCTGAGTCTCTGGCAAGCACACATACCTTCTGGCAGATTAAAAAAAAAAGTAGTGAGTGTAGATATCCGCCGGGCCCGTGTGCGTGCGTGCCCAAGATCCCGAGAGGAGAATGGGGGAGAAGGGATTGCGGCGTGGCCATCCCCCCTGGGGGGTGATTTCTCGCTTTCTGTCTCTCTGTCTCTCTCTGTCTGTCTGGTGAGCGCACGCGCCCTACAGTGAAAATCTCTCCAAAAAAAAAAAAAATAGTGAGTGTAGATATCAAGGATAGAATCCATCCCTCTTTTTAAAAAGTGTATTCTTTCTCACCATGAGAGACAACAACACAAAGACAGAGGAGAGCACCCCAAACAGGGTTCCCTTGCCACAACCAACCCCCAGCTCCAGCCAACCTGCATCACAGGAACACATACACACATATGACCTTGCCATATGGGTCAAGCTTCACTACTGCTCTGTCACCACCCAGGATCCCTGCCCCTTGTTTTTATGCAGCAGTATAGTTTGCGAAGTTCCTTCCCATTCATTATTTCACATGACCCTCTCAATGACCATGTCAGGTAGGCAGGTTGCTATTGACTGCTCCATTTTTTTTTTTTTTTTGGGGGGGGTTTTCACAC